ATAAAAAGGTGATAAATGTGTTCTTATGATATAAATGTCTTAAAATTGACGGATAACTTTGAAGTAGCGCTTTTAATGAGCTCCACTCCATTCACTGGGATCTGGCGAGCCAAAAGTATCAGAAGCCGTCTATAACTCATCAAGTTATTGTTCATTGCTATTATTACATAAAAAGTTCTGTGCTAAGAAGAGTGATTCACATTGTCAACTGTATCATATATGTATTGAATGAAATCATGCGTAAAAACAGTTCATTTAGATCTTATTGTATATTCAGATGCAGTAATTTTCTCTGCTGTTTTTTTTTAATATCGTTGCAATCTTTGTTGTCTCTTTTGTTCAACATTAAGCGTTTTACTTTTTATTGTATGTGTTGTATGAAAGTATCTCTATAAACCTCACTAGAGTTTCTTCAGCATATCTTAACAGTAGTCTTTCTCTCAAAATAAAAACTGTCTGTAGTGTTAACAACAAAGACTGTAATCAACCTGACAGTGTAGGACACGTTCCTAGGCTATTACAAGCGAACTAGATTTTGGACACAGCTATCCCAATGCATTTAAATAATGTAGCAACATGTCGGCTAGCTTCAGACCTGGAACTGGTAGTAAAAACGAATGTGACAAGTGATGTGATAAAATCAACACATCACCTCTGCTTTTCTTGTATTGCTTAGTTTTGTATTTAAATTAGTGAATATTCTGCAGACTTATTGAAGCGGCTAAAATAGGCATATGACCAGTAAAAATTATACTTAAACTGTTTATCATCCCACACATAATTAATACACTGGATTTTTTTTGTGCCTAATTTGTCCATCTCTTATATTATCAATAAATATATGTTCCATCTTCAGGACAGAGATTTATCTGTCAGTTTTGCTTATACATATGTTTATGCAAATAGACATTAGACATTAATGTTTTGTTGCCGAATGGTGGTCAGATGATTTAGTATGTTATCGTTATAAGTGTTCAGACATCTTTATCTATAAAATTGCATGTGATGATTCATTCTTTTTTATTGATAAATACAAATTATTGGTATTAGTTACTCATGCAGAAAAGTTAACTACCTCAACAACTACCTTTGGAAATATATTTTATGGCTATTTTATGTATGATGTAGGCATTATTTTCCCTATTATTCCATTTCCGTAAGACAACGTATTCGCACTACCGGCTTTGCTTTCCTCCGCTTCGTAGATGACTTCTGCTCTTTTCATCAGTTGTTTTAATCCATTTAGTTGCCTAACATGTATTTATAGCCCTTGCGAGTCTCAAGCAGCTAATATGAGAAACCATTGGCTTACTCTACTCTCTCAACTTGTGTGTGAATAATGCTTTCCATATGATATCGTCGGAGAGATGGCCTGTCATGTTAATGACTGTTCTTGTAACTATGCTTCCTACCTGAATCCTAAGTGTTTTACATACTTATCGTGTCAAACTATTGTGAATTTGTAGACACATGTCATTGGAAATATCTTGAAATCTATCTACTAAAGGATAGGCAAAAAATTTTTCAACTGTCCACTTTAGTATTTCTTGTTAGTACATGAACGTGTGTCTGAAAAATGCATCACACTGTTGAATAGATCTCCTTCACCAACATATCTGTTGCTGAAAAAGCTTAGTCTTTCACCTATGTCTACTGAACTACTATTCTGTTCACTATAAAGTATGCCTATCATTTGTGTCTCTAGGTCTGCTCTACCTGAGTTTCAAGGAAATTTAACAAACCACTCTAGGTTAATCGTTTCCTTCAGTGTTTGTGTAGCAAGTGAAATCAGATATTTGGCTAAGAAAAGACAGTTTATGAACAGAAAAAATATACCACTAAGTATTTGACAGATTGTTAGGCAGAGCATTTTTGCTAAGCAATTGAGAAATAACGCAGCGTATACAAACACTTCGAAATTATTGTGCATGTATATGTATTTTTTACTTTACTACTATGAAATATTTATAATACTTTTTTTTAAACTTCTGATAAGACTGCATTTATTTTAAATTTACCACTGAATGAATGTTAAATGTTTGTAAAGGACAAATAACAAAAGGGTAGAAGTATCGTCTGTATCTTCAGGATATCATTTGTTAAATTTGTTTTATAAACTGATAGTTGGTGGTGATATGGCAGAATTTAAGTATACATTGTGTTTTATCGAATTATCTCTGTCTTGTCTTTTTTAACTGTATTATTGCATTTTAATTGAGGACTAATTTTTCTGTTTCCCCTTAACTAAATTATTTATTTATTTATTTGTTTTTTTCCGTTAAAAATGTTTTACTTTCGATGAATGATGAGTGAATCTATGTCCATATTGATTTCATGTAGTCGTTAATTCTCCCGCATGTGAATGTGCACAGAGGACACACTACTTATCCTATTCATTAGATGAAATAAACTGGGTTAACACCCTGTATTTAAAAAAAAATTCAAATCTAAACTCACAAGCTTTGACATGGTTTTTTTGGGTTGGACATATTTTTGCTTTTTATGTGCATCCTATCTGTCTGCTTCCCTTCTAACAGTACCCATTTCTTCTTCATACACACACGTCTCTTTGTTTCATCTGCATATTCATCGGCATATTTTTCAAAAATTAATGATTATATTTAGTGTGGTTTAAAATTCTAGAAATGTTAGAATCGAAAGCTAACTATGTAACAAGTGACGCGAATGCCGAAAACATCCTTGGAATGTTTCATTAATACGGACGTTTTACAGATGTAATTTGCCCCGTATGCGAGGAGATCCGGATCTATGACCTATGGACTCGAATTTTATCCAGTGGGTCCTGGGCTTGAGTCCCTTTACACCTGCTTCAGCCTGGGGATCTAGGTGGTTTCATCAGCCTTAACTCAATAATTGTGACTCAAAGCCCGGTGGCCAATGACTGAACTCCAAGTGTTTAATGCTCAGAGCTCATTGGTTTTCAGTGATTCTTTAAATGATGTTGGTTCTTGATGGAATGTGCATTCAAAGTGTTTATGTCTCACTGTATTCAATATCCATGCAGTTCCTTTGGTTCCACTTCAGATAAACCAGACGTTCTAAGTATAAAACTTGGGCACTGTGGTAGAGCATAACTCCATTATGGAAAGGATTATGAGCAATAGTTTATGCTTGAAACGTCATCAGTTAATATTACTGTACAACACTGTGATTTATCAAAATAAAATCTTGTCCATAAACCAGACGTTCACCTCAGTAATTTTCAGAAGGCAATTTAGCATACATAACTGTCGAATAAAAAATCTTATTAATCACAAACGTTTTTACGCACTAAACGCACGTTAGTCATTTTGTTAAACCCACGTCTAGGCCACTTTGAAAAAAATTCTTAATTACAGAAACTGAGGGGTTCAAAATTCTATTTGTTAATCGTTGGGATAATGTGATGTGAGGTTGGTAACCACTCAGTTTATTTCCCTCTTAGCACTAATAGATATCACAACTAAGTTGTAGAATTCTCCAGATTGCTTTAAACTTTTTAAATTCAATTCATGTTAGGTCGTGAAATGTCGATATATTTTCGTTCGTACTTGCATGACACATGCCAAGAAAGAAGCCCATTCCCTTTTGCTCACTATCGATAGTAGTTTGCGTCTTAACATATTACACAACAGGTGTTTATCCAAACGCTTTTCAAGGGGAATCTATGATTTCCAAATTGATATCAAATTCAAAGGACTATAAAAACATGTTAAGAAGTAGATAGTCTCTCTTCACACGTTTTCTCTACGTATGACTGGTGATCCTTTCATATTTCCTTATATTTATAAATAGCAAAATACAATTGATCTTATGCTTCTGCATCTTAGATGTAGCGCTAAATAAATGCAGTTTAAACGCCCTATCTTGAAATAGTGTATTGATTTCAATAGCACTTACGTATCCTATGATCGTTATTTGTTCACTAATTCTATTATGTAAGGATAAGATTTGTACACTACCAAGTCTAGAATGATAAACCAGAAAAACCCACCCATTGCTGTTTAATTACTCACATACAATCACATGACAGTGTGGCTCAGAGTAAAAGATATATATGTATGGTGAAATAGTAAGAGAGAAATAAAGCTGCATACAGCAATTTGGGAAGTCCTGTGAGTACGTTGATATGATTATGAGCAATGAAATGTGCTCCAAACGTCCACCAGGTAATATTACTGCATCATTTTATGCAATAGCTGTGGTATGAGTTTTCACTTACATCTTAGAACCTTTTATTTATTCCACGAGTCATGATTATTTGTTGAATTTTATTTTGGACAGGACATCTAGTAAACATTTGCTGACATTTGTGAAATGATTTAATTCTTCTTTCACAAAATTTGTTAACGGTCAAGTTAGACATTTAATTTCGTTTCATAAGCTAGCGGTTTCATTAAAATTTATAATTATCAATTCTCAATCTTAGTGTGCACACGGTTATTCTTCATTTGCTTTTTGAAGGAGTAGCACTATTCATGCATTGGTTTAAATCCTTTCCCAATTACTTACCGTCTGTTTATCACATTAGTTATCTACTGATATAAGAATAGAACTTATGCACTGTGGTAGAGTATAATTCCATTGTGGGTAAAATTTGTTTTGATAAAGTCTCACAGTGTTATGCAGTAATATTTACTGATGACAACGTTTCGAGCACAATTTATTACTCGTTTATATAATCGAAGTCAGAAAGTTGTTTGAGTACCTTGATATGATTATGAGCAATAAATTGTGCTCGAAACGTCATCAGTACATATTACTGTATAACACTGAGAGACTTTATCAAAATAAATTTTACCCACAATGGAATAAGTTATCTACTGGTTTGTATAGTAATTTTAAAGTCTAGCTTTTGTCCTTTTTGTATGCATGTTTCGCATATTTTTATTTTATTCTGAATTCGTCGTTATCAAAGTTTTGTTGAAGGGTATTTGTAAAGCATACACACTACCTTCACTGTATTTACACCATTTCATTTTTTAAATTATCCTTTTTAGTACGAGAAGAGAATACAGTTAAACATTATCGTATCCGATCGAGGTATTCACGCACTGATCCCACTTTAAAGCGTTTCTACATTTCAAGACAATTGCCCTTTGTTAATATTCAGCAGTTGGTCAATCACTATCTAGAAAACCAATCAGGTTTGTGTTGTCGGCTGGGAAAGCCATGTATTCGGGTAAGTTCATTACAACTATTCACACTATATGTCCCTGCCTCCGATTTTCCCTCTTAAAGATCTACAAGTATTAAACATACGTAGGGGGAGGTAACAGTTTGCCTTAGTGTTTCTAATTCTACTTCTTCTTATACTTCGTTTGAAAGTTTTATCGTATCTAAAAAAACTGAGATAAAATTAGGAGTGAGGACAACATTATTTCTACTGCTATATCAGTGAGCTGTTTTTAAACAGGACTACAAGTTTTCTTTTCTCAATCCGTAAAACTAATCCTGAAAATTGTTCATTCACTCTTAAAACCTGTCGTCATAACTAATGGGCTTCTTTATGTAGTGGATCCAATTCCACTTTATGGGAGATAACATTGTAAACCTCTGTATGTCATAAGTACATTTTTCTATCTCTCCTTCTATATCTGCCTTTTATTGATCCACTACCTGTGTTGTTCCCCGTTGAATTAGCACGTTTTTACTCTACAAACATCACGAGAAATTGAACACCATTGTACATTATTCGTCTGTTCTCAAAGAAATAATTAGTTTGATCTTACAACCTGAATAGTTTATAACCGTAAATATTAATTGAGGCGCATAAAAGTGTCGTTTCCGCAGATACATTGAAAGTGTAATGCAAAATGAAGACTGTCTGAATGTTCACCTATGAAGATATTTCATTACAATATCGAGATGATTAGATTATTGGTTACATTATAAACTCCTGTTGACGGAATTTGTACCCAGTGAAAATTTCTCAGCATAACGTTGGTGATCACTGATTAGGAAATTTCATCCTCTACACGATTGTCAATTATTCAGCCATAGTTAAATGCAGAATTGAGTATGTCAGCTTGAAATTGCAGCTTCGGACACAACAACTATGTGAAATACTGTGGGAATAGATCTGTGCATACTGCTTAAAATGACAATTAAAGGTTTGTATAGAGACTGTCGGTACACAACACTGACAATCATCTATCCTCATTCTCACAGGAGAAGCTGTAATTAAATATCCCATACGTCACTACTAGCTCATTCTGATGCGCACAAACTTTCCTTGAATTAAACAAAATTCATTGATCATTCTGTTATAAATTAAAAATTTCTAACACCATCTGTATTTGCAATTTAGTTTTTAAAAGCTGAACGTTACAAGGTTTCTATGACCTTTACAGTGGAATTTAACCCTGATTTATTTAGCCGCAAGCAAAAAGATAATTGATTGATAAATAAGCCAGATTAGTTTTTTCTAACTATAATCTAGGGAAACAACTAAGTGTAGGAATATATCAGTCCTAAATAATTATTAGTAGCTTGTAAATAGAAGATCGACTGTTTATTAGTGTAGCTGTAAATAATTCAGAGTTGGCTTCATCTTCTGTTGTATATTTATTTTTATAGCTGACTGTCATGTGGGTAAATATTCAAAGTATTTCTTTACGTAAGAAATTGCTGTAATCCTCATAATTTCTTGTGGTTCCTTAGTGCATCTCATAGTGCCTATATTGTACTCAGTTTGTGTTTTAATTAAAAAGAAAAATTATGAGATGAATGATTGTATCCAGAAATGCTTTCAGTGGTGGTTTTCAAATGTCTGTTTTCCAAGCCCTCCACGAACATTGTCAGACGTCAATTTTTCTCTTCATGATCTTTCATGTAGTCTGTAAGCAATAACTCCACTGGGAAATCTATATAATACCAGTAAAATATTTTTTAGAGGACAATTAAGTTTAAAGAAGGTTGAACTGTCTTAGGTTAGAAACCATTTCCAGTAGGCTAAATCGGTATTTTCCCGACTTTTTTGTAAATGGCTTTGGCTGAATTCTCACTTCACTTGGATAAAATATACCTGACAATAAAAGCCTACATATTAAGCTACCTTTGGTGTAGGACGGTTTTTCTTCAGTCGCATCCTTTCTTTGTGTTAAGTTAGGTGATTATATATTGACTCAGCCTTCTTTTATCATTGTTAATTCTTCTATGAAACTGCACCTCAGCAAAATGTTATATCCTATGACGAACATTATTTAAGTTTTAGTTTTAAGAAGACAAAGCAAATACGTTCAGCCAGTTGTCTTTATCATCCGTAATTTCTGTTGTCTTTATAAGCTAAAATGTATTGTTAATGTCTATACCGGCACTAATTATACTTATAACTTTCGAAGTGCTTAGTGTTGAATCAGATCTGTTTTGACACTTGGTAAAATTATTACTATAACTTAATTCATAGCACAATTATGTGAACACGTCTGATATAAAAACATAATGAGCATGCACACTTTTGCTTCATTTTTTTTCAGCCGACTCACCCAGAACCTGTGGGTCTGTCACATAAACTTATTGATAAGTGGGAAATCCCGAAATCCTCAATTATCTTAAAAGAGAAAATTGGACAAGGTCAATTCGGTGAAGTCTTTAAAGCTGTATGGAATAAAACGACAATCGTTGCTGTGAAAACTCTCAAACCCAGTAAGTTTATTTAATTATTGTTCCCTCCTATGATGTTAATGCTCCTAATCAGTCTTTTATACGCTGTTCTTCTAATGTTACCAATCATGTAGCTGAAAACTTTCATGACTTTAATGCTCTCGATGTTCTAAAATGTCTTAAAACGCTCAAGGCCTCACGTAGCCTTGGCCCTCATGGTACACCTGCATATGTTCTAAAACAATGTGCAGATGCTTTATGTTCTTCACTAACTAACATTCTAAATGCTTCTTTCTCCAAAAATGTCGTACCTGATGCATGGAAAGACATTAAAATAGTCCCTGTCCCTAAACCTGGAAAGTTCAGACCCATTGCCATCACTTCCCCGTTTCTAAAGCTGGTGGAAAAACTAGTACTTCTTAAACTTGAACCCTCTCTTAAAAGCTTTGAAGACCCCAAACAATTTGCCTATAGACAGGGTAGGAGCACTTTAGACGCTGCAGCCGTCTTACACAACAACATCGTCTCATCATTAGATAAAGGTGCCAAATACGTCCGCTGCACGTTTCTCGACTTCACTTCTGCTTTCGACTCTGTACCTAGATGTCTCTTGCTAAATAAGCTCTCTACGACAAAAACTGAGTCCTGGGTCACTAACTGGCTGCATTCCTACTTCTCTAACAGAAAGCAGTACACCGTATACAAGGGTAAATCCTCCTCTGCTGCGCTCACTGAAGCTGGTGTCCCCCAAGGTGCTGTACTCTCCCCACTTCTCTTTTCTTTCTTTCTACATGACTTACCATCTTCAAATGACATTAATTTTGTCAAATATGCTGACGACCTATTGATATAAGTATAAAACTTGGGAACTGTGGTAGAGTGTAACTCCATTATGGATAAGATTTTATTTTGATAAATCACACAGTGTTACACATTTATATTAACTGATGACGTTTCAAGCACAAATTATTGTTCATAATCATATCAAGTTACACAACTTTGTGTGAGTATCTTTGCCTGTCAAATGTCAAAGTGACTGTTCTAAACTTAATGGCTTTCTGTCAGAAATCAGCCGGTGGTCCAAGGAAAATGGTCTTACCTTAAACCCCTCCAAATGCCAAACAGTCAATTTCACCTTTAGGCATAAATCCGACCTAAACAAACTGGTTGGCTCTCACGAGGTATGCAACATAGATGGCACTGAAATAGAAACCAAGTCGGAAATTAAATACCTAGGTGTCATTCTATCTGCTGATCTCTCCTGGTCGTCCCATATCTTAGCAATTTCTAAGAAAATATTCCGTCTTACCTTCTACATTAAGAAGTTAAAACATTCTAGTATAACCCAACCCTTACTCTCACAATTCTGTATTGTTCCCTCTTAGTTTTTCCCGGACTACTGAAGAAAGACTATAACATATTACGCAGGATGTTAAAGGTTGTCAGCAGGGTAAGCAACGTGCCACTTAACCAGCTTGTTAATATTCTAGTCGACAGGCACATGGACTCATGTGAAAAATGGGCCAAATCCATTTTATGTAACTCACACCACCCTCTTCACTCACAACTCTCCCCTTGCATCTCATCAGGCAAAACCAGAAGCCCATATAGGAAACTATATGCTCGCACCAGCAAGTACAAAAACTCAACCATACCCTACTTGGCTCGTGTTCTGTGCGATAAAGAAAGCATTAGGTGTGACACCTATAACTCATTAAATAGTCAGTAGAACAACTGGACCTCGTCTTTCCAACTCATATCATTTATAGGTACAACATTTTCTTTCTTTCTTTTCCTTTTCTGTCTCTCTCTTTTTTTTCCGTTATGTGCTGCTTTGTTTCTTTCTTCCGCTTACGCCAGTAAATATGACAGCACCTACTTTCCTAACACCTTCAAACACTGTTCAACTTTGGCTTTGCTACCGACATGCCAATATGTTGTTGTCATAATGAACTGAGATTTCTTTAATCTATGTAGAATTCTATTTATTGATAATGTACTAACTGGATGCAATACTGTAGTAAAAATGCTGAGAATTTCATTCTGTATCACAAGTACTGTTTTGGAATAAAGCAAATTATTATTATTATTAATTGTTTTAGAAAGCATTGGTCTGCTGTAACGTCGTCAGTCTTATTGGATAAACATTCCCAATGTTTGACGGCAGTTATATTTCCACAAATCTTTAGAACTATTGGTGGCGTCTTTTTTAAACAGAAGTTATGTTGAATATCCTGTGTGTGTATTTCATTGACATTGGCACTTGTAATTCAACCAGTGTTACTAGGTTTTCAATGCCGTTCCAATTATTTCAGGTTAGGTGATATGGTAGTATCATCTGCTATCACGTGCTCATGATGTACATTTTAATAATTAGGCTAAAAAGGAAAACTCAGTCAAAAGTGTCATGTACATTTGCAGTAGTTAGTAACTGTGATACTTGTTTTATACAGTATGTAGTGTGTTTTTTCTTCTCAAAAATATCCATTGAATATTTTGTAGCATGAAATTCAACAGTTTAAAGTAAGCTAATGTCTGACTGATTAATTATTGAAACATACTTCCTGTAGTATCTCTTTTGTTAAAGAGCAGCTCACCAGTCCAGAAGGTGATTTCTTTTTGAATTTTATGTACTCGAGTTTTAAGATATATAAGTAAACTACTAAGATATTATATATTGGTCTTTTGGAAATCTCTGTTACGTGATTGTCTGCTAGAATTTAGTCATCATTGTATTGTCACATAAATTGGCTTTTCAATTTTGGTGTGATGTATCATACCAGCATTATTGACAAAACTCTGTGCTGCTAATTAGTGCACTATGCCATACCTAATAATTGTGAATCAACTTTTGTGACTCATTGCTTAAAAGTTGAGCAGATTAGCGCTAATCAAACACCTTTACGCTTCCGTGTGGTCCAACATTGATGATTGCAGTGCTTGGTTTATAACCAATGTAGAAATTAGTGGAATACTTCAATCAGTATTTCGTCTTTATTAAGTTCAAATGTGAAAAGCTAGTCTACGATTGAAGGACACTCACTGAAATAGCAAGCATTAAGTATGTACAACACAACAAATTAATAACACTTTCAGTTAAACACTAGTGTTATCAACAGCAATTGTAGTAATGTCGCTAGTATATCTACACATTTAGTAGTCATAAGCAAAATGCACTAGGCAGGCATATCTATATCCTTTTTGTCAGATACTTCAGAATGAATTCATTGTTATCCACTTCACTCTCTCCACAGGACTGTATTTTACAATTAATTACTTAGTTTTACCATATTAGTCAGAGAATCATATAATTATAAACAAGTCAACCTTTTTATGTGTATCATTCCTTGTCTGTATAATTTTTCGAAAGAGAAACGATACAAATAAAGTGAATCATTATTACTGTAAATGTTAGTTGTTATTGTGTTTATCAATCAACATGTATATTTGATTGATTTCTTCTAACCTTTTCTAAGCCTCTTCTCTGTGACTAACTATTTCACAACATTAGAAATTAATGAACAAAAAAAACAATCCAAGATAACTTTCAGTGGCATTGTGCGTACTAGTTGTATTGGTTTTGACTCGAAGAATCAGGTGAAGCAGTAAATGCAACGGAGGAGGAAATTTACTAGCCTTCCTTCACCTAGGTAGCTGGAGGCTACATTTAACAAACACGACCACCACAAAACAATTAAATAAACAAACGTCAAGATGCAAGAAGGCTGAAAATACCATAACAGTAGTCATTGGACAAGCATCGTACTTGAATATTGCAAGATAAATAAAACTAATCTACATTATAATTGTTTAAACATACCCATTGTGAATTTCAAAAGACCAACTAGTGAACAAAAGATATTCTTTTCGATAACTTCATTAGGTTCTACGCTAATAATTAGAGAATAATTATTATTAACAACAGTAATATTTCTTAAATGATAAAAAGTCTGTGGGAATACGTAGTTAATCGACTATAGATCAAAATATGTGTATCTAATAATATGCATAGGTGCAACACTAAATAGGGTATCAAATTTCGAAAGTAAATGATCATGAGTAACAACAAATATATATAATATTCAAATACTGGTTTTGTAGGGATCTTTTTGTTTTTGTTTGATTGGTTGGAGGATTTCATCATGAGCTGACATCAGTTAGAGAACCATTGGGAAACTTGGGAGTACTGGACAGCCGTTTTGTCATGGTATGGGACTCTTCGGCAGTGCGCGCCCTCCGGGGTTTGAACCCAGGACCTTCAGATACAAGGCAAGCTCGTATACCATTAAGCCACTGGGTCCTTATCCAATGGCCTGCTCATGAATTCTAACTTCTACCAATTCATGACACAGCGCGACCAATGTCTTCTATGAGTTAGCGCCTCACCTTCAACCTACTGGTCACGGCTTCCCACTAGAACCCCAGATCACTGCCTGGATAGGGCCAGTGGTTAGTGAGCATAATAATGAATTTCATGATTAGTGCTTACATAGAATTTTATTCAGACAGATTATAAACTTCATATGGCTGAATGATAAAACTTTAAACAAAACAGGGAAAAAAATAGGATAGAGGTTGAATGTTTGTGTGTCAGTGTGTGAATTACTAAATTTAGATTAAGAAGACAAAGGGTTTATGTTCAGTATGAACAATATTCAATACGAATTGAACACTACTCTTGAATATCCATTATCATGTATTAGTTGTTACTCCTGAACATTTATTTTTTTTGAAATCTGATGTTCACTTTAGTGTTACATTTGTCAAATACACTTTTATTGAACTATAATCTACTAAAGATAATAGATTTTTGTGGGTATTTGGCATTTCTACATGAACCAACATGAGTTAGAGGACACTGGATACCAGAGAACTCTGGATAGCTGTTTCGTCCTAATTTGGGACTGTTTAGTGATGCACACCCACTGTAACAACAGATGGCAAGACACGGAAGCCAAGGTATATTTTTCATTAATCAAACCGTTGTTTATATATATACAATTTATATTCGTTAACCAATCACTGAGCTTGTGATTTTGGTT